GCCTAGCAGTCGATTGACGCGCTCCGCTTTCTTTTGATTGCTTAAAAGTCATCGCAATGTGCCTCCGCGACCATGTTTGATGCGCTACAAAACCTCGGCAGATTCAATAGCACCCTGTAAGCATTGTTGTACTGGACACGTCGTGCTCTGCGTAAAGTTAATACACAGGCTGCACGCAATGACAATATGCTTTGAAAAGAGTAACCTTGACTGGTGTGGTACAACGTGCGAACCTGTGAGCCAACATATTACACCGGAGAGACAGCTCCCTCTCAATATCAAGGTCATCTGATAAGTCATCAGCGACCCAGTGCCCAAGGTACTTAAACTTATAAAACTCTCTTTAAAGGAGTACCGCAAAGAGTGACTGGAGCTACAATTGAGTAGCATTTGGTACCAACTTTAAAGATCATAACTTACTCTTTTTGTCATTATACTTGAGACCATGACTCGCCACATATGTCTCATAGATACCTATCAACCTACGTAGTGCACCAATCGATGGGCTCAGCAACACCATGTCATCAGCGTAGCTTATGTTATTTATGCACACACCATCAATAGAACAACCCATGTTTGTGTACTGAGCTGACCGATTCATATACAGATTAAAGAGACGAGGCGAGGATATACCACCTTGCCTCACGCCATACTCTAACCTGTACATGTCCGACCGCGCATCCGACCATCTTGCTCTATTTTTCTGCCGACTGTACCAATATTTAAACAGAGATACAATCTCACGTGGTAGATTCGTAACACATTGTAGCTTCTGACACAGCTTATCATAATTAACAAGGTCAAAAGCTTTTGTAAGATCTAAATATTCTTATTTGCTTATGCTTCTGCATATACAGGTGTATTTCTAGCTGTATAGTACTGGACGGTCTGCTTGAGACAGAGAACACTCTCAGCTGATAGACCGGGCCTAAACCCAAACTCGTACATACCCTACGTTAGGCTGCCTAACGTAAAGGCCAGTTTGGGGTATATCCCAGTCTTTTACTAACTTGCATAACTTTAGTTAGGGCTTATAAAGTCATCTTAAGTGTCTGGTGACCGCAGACTGGTCTATTTTAGGCCGTACAGTATAAATGTATACAGGGCGTAAGGCACATGTCTCATGGATCTCACTAAAACGTCTTTCTGCGGATACTTATCATGATGCAAAAGTCAGTTCATCATAAGCATTTATAGTAATTTACAGTAATTTTACAGTAATTTACATCTTTATAGGTTAATTATTTTAAAGTACGAAGTCATTTTAATAATTCTGGTTATAATGATCAGAATAATCAGATTTTTATTTTTAGTCTATATCAAAAACTGTTAAAATTTGATTATAAAGTGTGTCAATAATAATGTTCGATTCAACTCCACCAAAACACAAACCGTTGCGTTCACTGTTAAAAAAACCTTTTGCTGTGGCCCTAAAGTTCCAAACCAAACTTTTATTAAAAAAGCTCGGAGTGCTTAATAGAGCGAAGTGGTGTACACCCAGAGACAAAGACTTTCAGTCAGAAGTCCGTCCCTATTCTCAGGATGGCAGCTCGGAACTTTTGACTCGGTTCATAGAATCGTCTACGATCCCAAATTTACAAGCGATATGGAATCCTAACGAGTTACTTATTTATTTGTGATAGGTTTTTCTACGACTTATTCACTATTAAATATTCAGTATATAAGATGCATTGGTTTTAGATTACAGTGAGTTTATCATTTAAAGAAGTACACAGCAATTCCATAAAAGTTTTATTTTTGTCTACTTATGAGTGTTCTACCTACTGCTTAAGTACCGTCAGTTATGCTTGTTTGTTCAATTATGAATTTGAACAGTGTTGATATCCTTGTTTAAAGCCTAATACCAGTCATGAGTGGGACTATTAAATATACGCTATTCAATTTCAGGCATCAGAGACCGCTGTAAGCTGCTTAATAGCTAATGTAACAGCATTTATCCGCGTTACTTTGGTCGACTAACGCATTTTCTGTTCTCTTCAAGCTGTATTGCACTTTACATCATCAAAGTTTTTAAATTGTGGAATAGGTTTATTACTTTTTGTAAAATATAAGGCTGCATTATTGAGTACACGACTTCCATCGTACACAGTTATTAGCTATAAGAAATAAGAAGTAAAGAAGAAGATTTTTATACCTTAAATTACTGGAAGTTGTATGAGTTGGTCCGTGTGGTGACGGATTAAGAATACGGATTGTCCCCCGTCCCTCCCCATTCCTCCCGTGGGTGTCGTAAGAGCCGACTAAGGGAGCAAAATATGCAGGACAACAAAACTGCAAAGAGAAGGAAAACTTGAAACAAACCCTATACCAACCCGTCTGGCCAGCGTGGTATAGTAGGCCAAAACCTCCTTTCTAAGGAGAGGCCTATGTCCAGCAGTGGACTGTTAAAGGCTGTTGATGATGATAATGATGTATGGGATGAGGGAGAGCTTCCAACCCCAGCTCTTGCAGCTTGGAGACTATCTGTTGCGCAGTATGGGGTCGCGCGTTGTCGTGAAGGCTCCTTCACGACAACGCGCGAGTGGGGATGACCGATTGGCCAAAGCTGGTTGCTTGGTACTCACCAGACCTTGCACCTACCGACTATTACTTTTTCCAAAATTTAGACAACTTTTTTAGTGGGTAAAAAATTCAATTCCCGAGAGGCTGTACAAAATTTCTTTGAAGAGTTTGTTGCCTCACGTCCAGCTGATTTTTACAAGAAGGGCATCATTAAACTGCCAATGCGTTGGCAAAGATGCGTCGATTGCATGGGTGATTACTTCGAATAACAGAAATAAAAAAGTTTGAAAAAATAAGTACTTTCACTTATTGCATACAAAACGGCAATTTCATAGGTAAAGACCTAATATTATATCAAAGTATGTGTAACAGTCATGTAGTTTTTTAACTGACCTGTTGGTCAAGTGATAAGTAATACACTGACCACCAAGCCAGAGCTCGTGAACTCGATTCCCAGCCTCCTGGGTTGATATAGTTGTGTTATGAGCACGATCATTTGTTCTGTGTCTGGGTATAATTTATCTATATTATGTATGTATTTAGAAATACTCTGTATAGTTACCACGGCACAAGCTCTGCGGAGTTTCAGTTCAGACTGCCGTGTGTGAGATGTATGCAGTTACTTTTATCATGTGACTGATATGTATACCCTCGATTATTTGCTATTGATCTGTATCAGTATTCGTCACCACCCCAATTCATCCCGTGGGTGTCGTAAGAGCCGACTAAGAGAGCAAACTAAGCTGGACAACAGCACTGCAAGGAGAAGGAAAACTTGAAACAAACCCTATACCAACCCGTCTGGCCAGCGTGGTATAGTAGGCCAGAACCTCCTTTCTAAGGAGAGGCCTATGTCCAGCAGTGGACTAGTATAGGCTGTTGATGAGTATTCATTATTTTTTGGCTTCAAGGGTTCTTTTATATTCATATTTTTTATTACGATTAAGAAATTTTATATTTACCTTGCTAAAATTAAGTATTTGAAGTTGTTAAACTTACTTAAGAATTTCCAATTTTAACCAAGATTGAAATAAAACATCAATTATAGACGGATGGAAAGTTTATTTAAAAAATAATTGATATAATTATATAAGTAGGTAAAATAATTCTAGGGTTACAAATGACTTATAAATGAGTGGTAAATTCCACATAGGTCTAGAGTTATAGTGTAAGGGAAATTCACGTCGCACACCGTAACTTGACCGTGTCTCAAAGAGTACCTTTTAAATTTGCCTTACGGCTTACCTACTTTCACAATCTTTTTTAAAAATCGTTCTTTTACATTCCTGTATTGTCCAAAAATACAATTAATTTTAGGTTTTTTGAAGCAATAAAAACTAAATAATTGTGATGATGAATAACATTGTTCCAGATTGAATCATTGTGTTCACATTTTATTACTTGAAACCACTTATTTAGTTTTCATTGCATTCAACTAAATTACGTGTTATTGTAATCTACCTATAAAATTTTGTGCCCATGGCAAGGGGTCCAGCTATTCCTTTGTAAGTATTTTACTTACAGTTGGATTCTGAATCACAGGTTTAATCACATTAATTTTTATACCCCTCATTCGTCCAATTATATTATAGAATATAACCTAAATGGTTTAGGTACTATGATATGCAATTGTGCGTCAGATAAGATGTTGGGATTTTACAAACTAAATTGAACTTGAAGAGTAAAATGGAGACGGTAAAGGACCGGGGGGCCGTCTATCTTATACTAGACATCAATTGATTATCGTATACATTGATAGGCCTACGTCTAATAAGAGTCTTCTTAGAGACTTTAAATATTATGAGATTAAAGTGAAACATCCATCTTTTCTCGAACCGAGATATTTCACAACGCCTTTTAAAATTATTCGATTATATGGCAATGCTGTCGCAGCAATTCTGGTTAAATATATGGGTTGTTCCCATAACTACTCTAGTGTAGGTGATAGATACCTACTAAAACAATGTGAAAGATCTAGAAAATTGTGGATATAAATACCCGAAAATCAGTTCGTAGTATCATACTAATCTAATGTAGAGTAACTCATGTAATGTACGTTAAAACATTTTCCACATATTTTCGTCTGGAAAACATTTAGAGAATTATATAGCCCTTGCCGTAAATCGCATTGTTATGACATCATCACGGGAAAGTATAAGGGGCATAAGTATAATAATTAATATCAAAAGGAGCAATGGATATCCATTGCTCCTTTTGATATTAATTATTATACTTAGTTATTATTATATTAATTATTGTACTAGTTCTTGTAATCTTCAAAGGAATATTCCTTTGAAGATTACAAGAACCAGCATAATGTATAGGTGTGTATCTTTATTTATCTGTCGCTAAATATATGTGCGAAAGGGAAAGAGAATGTAAATCTTTGTATGTTGATTAATATTCGCCTCCTTCCTCTGATACCTACATTTTTTTTTAAATCAGAGATAAACATTGGCATCATTACAATGTTACATTTAGTTATTTGTAACTGTAATCTCCGGATACGGTAGGCTTTGGAATTTACAGAGAGGCTGATCATTTTTATCGAATAAGATATCTTTGTAGCAGCAGTCACAATACAGACCAATATGAAATTGGATGCGAGCGCAGGCCGACACAATCCATTGGGGTCTGAACGCTCGACAGTTGAAACATATGACCTCTGTCTCCCTGTTAAATTCGGTCGAAGATATTTTACGAGGGTAGTCGCTCATGCGATTTGGGTCTTGACGATCGAGGAGACGAACCTGTGAGAACACGATAATGTGCTCGCATGACGTGCTATGTATATACAGCTGAAAAAAGTAAATTATATAATTTAAAATTTGATTATCAGTATTGACAATAATGTCTGAAACTTGCCAATACTTACATCAGATTGGCCCAGATTAAAATCCAATTCATCCAGTCGACATGTGCGCATGTCTTTCTTGGAGAAGGTACCGAGTTCATGGGCCTCGACACACGATCTGATCGAATCTACGTGCACGGTGGAACGTTGATTTTTATCAACGTAAAAAACGTCTTTGATAAATAGGAATCCGTTAGGAATGCCCTGTAATACAAGAGATCAATTGTTTTAGAGTAAGCACGGAGAAGTACACTACAAGGAGTTTATCAAATATACCATAGAATACCACGTATTACTCAAATTTGGCCACCACTTAGGAGGCCAGCTTTAGGAGCTCACTCACCGCATGCATGATTTTGCAAAGTTATTAATGGCTAGTTTGAGTTAATTGATATAAATATTAGAAGGCCATCATTATGAAGAACTTAGCAGGATGACAAATTTATTTGCTCATTTAAACACTCTTTTGCTGGGGATCTGTTGTTTAGTATTTTTACAATCAATACTGTGTTTATCATTTGATTGGTTATATTTCTTGCGATTGATTTTATGTCGGGTACAGAACTTATTTGGATAATATCATATAAGGTAATTAACTTGTGTTGGAATTAAATAGTGCATGAGGCGTTAACTTATGAGTATTGGTCAATCAATAATTTATTTCGTAAAACAGGTAAATTCAGATGTTACAAACCATATTTAAAAGATCGCCATGTTTCGCCAATAGGTATACAAAACAATAAAAGTAATTCATTATTCCTGTTACAATACAACTGTTTAAAGTTCTGTAATCACATACTTATTGAAGTCAACAAAAATAGACGTTGATTTGATTTCTTAATTAAATAATATATTGATAAATGACCATTAATTGGGAAAAAATGATAAAATAATTAAAAATGTCCAACTCAATATGTGAAATAATTATCAACCAAAAATGTCGAACGAAATATGTCAAAATACTGAATAATCGAAAATGTCAAAGCAATCAAATTTCAAAATACTAAATAAATAAAATGTCAAAATAATTTAAAATAGTAAAACAATTAATAATTTTAATGTCAAAATACTAATACATAACCAATTTAAATCAAAACTTATCATTCAGAAAATCTATTGTGGAGTAGTATGCTTTGTCAAAAAGAGATTGTTTTTAAAATTCATTGATATTTTACGTTCTCTCAATTGTTGTACAAAAACGATATCATTGTGCCCAAAAAGTTTTTTGACATTTGATCCTATTTGACAAAACAAATTGTTGCTGTGTGTGATCTATGTCTGTAGAATCATTACTTCAGAGACGATTTGAAAGAATTTTATGATATGAAGATATTTTGACTTTGAGTTAAGATGACTATCGGGTATGGCATGGACATGTGATGATGTGAAAGTGAAGATGCAATGTGTAAGGCTGTAAGAGAATAGGAAGACTCAAGAAAAAAGTAATCAAACCTTTTGGTTTTGTGTTTGCTTTTCGCAAACAAAGTGCTCCATTACATCTGAGACGTATTGACGTCCCGTGAACTCGATTTCGTTGTAGGAAAGGCCTTGCAGAATGCTATCCTGTTTCAATGACATAGGATTAAGATACAAGTACAAATATTAAAAAAAAATGGCTTAACAAAGCGATGGTACTTACGGCATTTGAGTTCTCGGACCAACTAAAATTTTTAAACATTCTTATACGAATTAAGATGTCACTATCTACTTCTAAGCAGTTCTTGTAAAATGTTGGGTCGACTACTTTTCGCACCCTTTGATGCTATACAACCAGACACTGTCAAAAAGCCAGGTGGCGGCGGATTAGGATTGGTCGTATTGGCTTGCTTCTTAACCTTGCGCGATTTCTTGGGTTTTTTGCGTTTACCGAATTTTACAATATTTGAATTCCTTAGCTGTAAAATTAATCAGAAGTGATGAGTTGGAATACATACAAGCTGGGCTGGAAGCATCGATCGATTATTAAAATCTGTTTGTATTCGTACAAACCTGTGCAATCTGCGTCGAGGGTCCAGGTTGAGCAATGTCATCATCATTACTGTCACGTGCCTGTGAAGGTCCCGGCTCTCCGGCCAATGGCGGCTCAACATTGGTGCTGGGATTGGGAACTGGTGGATTCCGATTAATTATTGGCATTTCCGAATCTGAAAATTTCATTAATTTAAATTTTATTACCCTTTGTTAGGGTTACAAGGGTCCTAGTAGTATTTTACATCGTCATCTTACCCCACAAAACTGAACCAGTTCTTGCACCTCCCTTTCAGAGGCCGCTTCTAAGTATGCCATTAGTTGTGACCGGTAAATTGTTGTCAAGTGTAATCAAAAATTCTGGATGCCCGTGGAGGGGCACGTTCTCAAACTTGTTAGATTGAGGATTTATCATAATGTTATTTGGTCTTATCTGATTACTTCTCCTATTATCGGGGATTGGCCGCGCATCATCATGGTCTTCGTTAAAATTTAACGCCCTTATCCATATCTGGATGCCTTGGCATGTCGTGCTGCAATGAAATTAAATATTTGAATTGTAGCATTGGTTTTTGTTCTACACTTTTGATGGAATTTACCGAAAAAGGTACATATTTTTTTGCTAAGGAATATTTCCCTTTTATTCCTTATTCAAAAAAATATGTACCTTTCGGTCGGGGGGTCGGGGTTAATAATATAGGTATATATTCAGATCCAATAACAATTATAAAGTACTCTAAGGAAGGTTAAAAAAAATAATGTCAAATTTAGAAATAATGATGCCAGCTCCTTTGCGCTTAAGTAACTAATTTCAATATATTTCTAATCCTATTTGTCAGACAACATGAAAAAAAGTTTATATTTAATTGCTACAATTTATTAAAAGTGCAGTTTACTGGTTTTGATTATATTCGTTTCACATTTAAAATCGGCCCTCTCTATTCTTAAAAACCCAACTTAATTAATAGATAAATTAATAAGGGTTTCTAGCGGTCTAATGAATAGTATAAATACAGGCATGTCTTCGCCAGTAAGACAGTTCAGAGGGCTGAGTGCAAGTTTATTTCATACTAGCTGAGACCCGCGGTGTTATCCGCGTTTGTTGTTATAACCAAGGGCAACGCCGCGGGGCGAAGCTAGTCTAAAAAAAGTAGTTTAAGTTACTCCTTATGTCATCAGCTATCTGCCAGTGAAAGTACCGTCGAAATCAGTCCAGCCGTTCCAGAGATTACCCAGATCAAACAGACAGACAGACAGACAAAAATTGTAAAAAATGTTATTTTGGCATATGTACCGTGTAAACATACATATGCATTTAGTAAAACGCGGTTATTTTAATATTACAAACAGACACTCTAATTTTATTTATTTGTATAGATAGACTAGCTCTCGATAGCGAGCGCGTTTAGCGTTGCGATTGGTGGAGATTTCAGTGCGGGCCAATCGCAGCGCCGAACGCTGTCACCGTGACGATCGAGTAGAAGTGAAATAAACTCGCACTTGGCCTTCTGTTTGAGCTACGGTGAGAAAATCATTGAAGTGATCCCAGCGACCTCGCCATTCGTCGGTGATAATTTAGGACTGTTACTATAACCCGACAATCTCGTGCGCGACCGTCCCGCGGGGTGACAGACAGTGGCGGGGGCGAGGTAGCGCGTCATTTTAGCCACACGGCTACACACGATTCCCTTCCCCGCTACACCACCCGCTACCCGCTGACATCTTGAGTACCTCGTCCCCGCCACCGTCTGTCACCCCGCAGGACGGTCGCGCACGACGTTGACGGACTATAAGTATTCGTTTGATTTGTTAGTAAAAAAAGTATCTTCAGTATGTAGTGGTAGTATTCTTTCAGTATGAAATAAAATATATCTACTTATTCAAAAGGTTTCAAATATTCAAATTATTGTGTAATGTTTTGAATAAAATCTATTAGAATTATTATGATTAACTCTAATACTAACTAAATATTACACTAACTAACGATCGTACAGGAATATACTAGCAATTTTTAAATTCGTGTTCTATTGATATGGACTTCGAAAGTGGTAACTCTGTATTAGCGCCGACATATTTTATGTGTTATGAACCTTTATACAGGGTTACTGGTTAAGTCGACCTAGATATTTTAGGGGGTTGTAGTAGCCATTTTGAATAGATATCACTATGAAATACCATTATCCCAAACCTATTTTCAAAATATTGTCATTTTAAGATTCTTTATATAAATTGCCGAAATTTTAGCTAATGTATTTTTTTAAATTTATTTCCTAATTTGTTTTCTTTTTTTACTGTTTTTGTGTTGTTGATACACTGTTTTAAAATATCCATTAGCAAAATTGGAGTTAACAAACTGGTCCGAAGTAGATGGTTGATAATAACAAAAAGAAATAAATATATAAAAAAAACTTTGACGAATTTAAAAAAAAAACTATGACAGTTAAGTTGCAGATGTATTAGAAAACATGTACGTATTGACAGCTATAAAAAAACCATGATGGAGGGAAGTCCTAGTAATGTTCACCTTAATTTTTTTCACTTTAAAAAGACTACAAACAAAAAATGAAAAATGGATTCATGTATTGATAAACGTGCTATATGTGTAAAACTAATTTTGAGTGGGATGCACATATTCACGCATGCGCAAAGCGAACCGTTGAGGTATCTAACAAATCAACACAAGCCGCGAGATTATAATATGTAAAAATTTTGAAATAAGAATTTGATTAAATGAATATATTTATAGAAAGCCTAACACATTTTTGCCGCCAATCAGAAAATGCTTTAGTTGGCGCGAAAATACAGATAATAATTTGTTAAGTACCAAAGTGATTCGAATTTGTGGCAAACTATTCAAGTTCTTTCTTCATTATGCTCTTCTGAATACAGAAATGTAAAAAAATCAATGTGAGTCCAGTGCAAATCTTACGTTTGGTGTACATTTTCATACGTAGCCATAATGCCGCGTTTTCATGCCCTATATTTTTTTAAATTAAAAATATACTTTTTATTTGATTTAAGGATAAAATAATTACTTAAATGTTACTTTACAATATTATTTTAAACACATGAAGTGTTTAAAATTATTTATGAAAAGTTTGTCAACTCCCGGATTGTTGCTTCAATCTTATTGTGTTTTCTCGATATGTTTCATGTCATTCAAGATGGCGTCTTAACATCATATTATATTACTGATTAAAGTTGAAAAACAGATGAATATTTCTATAAAGGTGCCATAGGCGCGAAACTAGTAGTCAGTAGTATGCCCTTAGTCTCGCATCATCATCAACAGCCTTAAGTAGCCCACTGCTGGTCATAAGAATCTGCTTAAAAAGCATCTCTTTTTAAGCAGATTCTTATGACCAGCAGTCCTTAACGACCTGGATGGTTAACAGTCGACGGCAAGAGGCTGATATATTTGAAAGGATAATCACTAGACATGGTAATTATTGCTACTGTTAAATTATATCCATTTTACGGAATAATTTAAGTCACAGGGATTTTAAATTTATTGTGATTTCGTCATGGACAAAGATAAGTGGCATTAAAATTAATTAAAATTCCTTTTTATCAAAGATTACGACCTTTTTTTGTTTGAAGGGAAAACTTCTTTAGGCGCGTTGGGCATTTTTGAACAACAAAAACCATTGAACTCTCGGCACTGTTACCGTTACCGACACCTCTGTATCTACATATATTGGCCCCGTTTTACGAGAGTTGAGTTTGGGTTGAAATACATAGAATATATATATATATATATATATTATAAATATATATTATGTATCCACGTACAACAGATATATATTCACGTCGGAACACGAAAAATATTTTTTAAATTTTCAAGTTTTTCACTTCTGTCGACACTCCCGGAGTGCCAGTGTCTTTTTTTAGATTTAGAACATTCGCGAGATTAGCGCTAGCGTAATTATAATAATAAAGTAGCAGTGGTTTTGTAAATCTATATTTGTAGATATATTTCCATCAATAATAGTCACGCAAGCGCACAGCGAACCGTTCAAGTATCCGAACAATCACCAGAGATATTACATCAGACGCCATTTTGTTTTATCGATTATCGTTATTCAACATGGCGGCTGTATCTTTATGTTATTGATCAAGAAAAGAAACCAGGCCGAAAATAGAACCTTGTGGAACGCCCATGTCGGAGACCGCTCACTATTAATATCAACTTTCTGAATCGTATTACTTAGATATGAAGTAAGAAGTTCCAGTGCTTTACTTATTTTAAGTATTTTGATACCATAGCACTATAATTGCCCGATATCAAAAGCTTTAGATAAATCGTAAATGATAACTAGGGAATCGTGGGCATCATCCCCAGTCTCAGATATACTCGTATGTTTTACAAGCTCAACACTTGCATCAATTGCGGAGCGACCCCTTGTAAAAACCAGATTGTGTATTGTGTAATAAATTATTATTTAAAAAAAAGACTTTGTGATTGATCTTTTTTTTTTAATTATACTGAATACTAGTAGTACCGAAATAGGTCTAAAGCTAGTTGGGTCGAATTTACTGCCAGATTTATTATAAAGGAATATTTTTACAAGACTTCATAAGATCAGAAAACCACTATAAATATAACACACCAATATAAATTTGATTAAATGTAAATGACATGACAATGATTAATACACGATTTCCCCATAGGTCAGTTGTTTTTAAATATTAATGGTGTTAAAGACCTTAATAAATTCAAAGGCCGAAACATATTAGAACTTAAGTTTACTATCAATCGTACAAACATTTTTTTTTAAATTGATTCTTCAAGGCATGGTGAGGAGTTCAAAGATTTAGTAGTTGATTTAGGAATATAATAAAAAATTCTCCAAAACATCAACAATCTCAGTGTTAGATGTTATAATTTTATTGTTATATTCAAGTTAAATTCATCATCGCTGTATTGGTTTTTACCAGTTAATAATTTTCCAAGTGGTTTTAATCTTATCACTACTACTTTTAATCTTTGAACTTGAGTACGAAATAAGATTTCTGAATAGCACATAGTCACGCAAGCGCACAGCGAACTTTTCAAACATCCGACAAATCAATAAAGGTCTACCAGAGATCGAAAAACCTAAAGAAGTAGTTAATTTTCAATCAATTATATTGAATTCTCTACAGCAAACTGAGACAAATGTTGCTTA